CTTTGATGTGTCTTCTGGAAAAGACACATTAAAAACACTTTTCGTTCCTGTCAAGAATTCCTCGGCCTGTTCGCTTAGCAGACGAATGTGTTTATCACTGAACCATTCAGGCACGTTAATTATTAGTCTTATTGGTCTCTTACGTTGACGTTTCATGTGAGGCATTCGAAACCTAGTAGAGTCACATGGAAGGCGGGAAGATGTGACTACTAAGCGTCTTTCTGGTTCACATGTCTTTCATCCGACTTTTACATGTCTACTAGCACACACATTGAAGGCATGTAGATAGAGTACTGCTACCATGACTTTTTCGTTACCATTTACCACACCATTACATTAGCGTGGACAAAGTGTCTTAAGACAAATTGACGAATCGCAATTTTTGGGCGTAAAAATGATGCAACAATTCGCATTTTATCATTGTTTTGCGAATTCGTAATTCGATGCGAACTAACAAAAATGATCAAAAATGAACCAAAAAATTGCCTCTTTTCTTCCTTTTGCCAATTCATAAATTAGGACGAATTCGTAGAATACGAATTGATCAGTTGAATGAATTAATCAAAACTTGTGTGCGAAACAAAACAGAGAAGGAATCTCTCTCCCTTTTGTGTGCATGTGCCAAGAGGGGGGCAGTGAGGGTGGCTGTGAGTGTTTACACAACATGCCGTATTTTATGAATTCGTAGGAATAACGGCGAATTGGTATGAGAAGTATGCGAATCGATGAGAAGAGACAAATCTATCTATTTTTAACCCCAGAAAAAAGTGTCCTGTCCCTACGTAGCCTAATAAGCGTACACATCGATTCACAATGAATTTGCAGAACGGGTTTGTCAATTCGTAGATCCATTTTCAACCGCTGGATCAGTTCGTAGTACAAATTCGCTACTTCGTATTTACGAATCAATCCAGTTCCAAAAACACTGAACACGAATTCGTAAACTAATTTTAAGAATTATTTGCGCATTGCTCCGCAGCGGGGGTGTTCTATTCTCCGTTTACGAAATCTTCTTGCGAAATTGTGTCTAATCCCCCCCCCCCCATAATAGAAGCCTCCCCCTTGTTAGAAGCCCCCTCTCGAGGAATCGATGTGGAAGGTATATTAGAAGCCCAAGGGCTTCTATTACGCCGGAAAAATAAGTTGAATTTTTTAAACGACACATTTGATCGACAACGTTTTTTTTACTTTAATTGTTCTTGTGTGATGTCGAGTGTAAAAAAAGGAAACGAATAAAATTTACATTTTTTATCTCGAAAAGATTTTTTTCTGATTAGTTGAGATTACCGTGATTAGAAAGAGCATCGAAATTCAAAATCTCCTTTTTTTCTGGAAATTTTTGTACGAAAGTCGTAATAGCAGCCTCCCCATAATACAAGCCCCCATAAAAATTTTGAACGCTTGGACAGTTTAGAAGCCCCGGAGGCTTCTGTTATGAAGGGGGGTTAAGAGTATCCGTACTAATTCGATACAGTTCGCATAAATTCGGTACGAATTCGCAAAATAAGGGTAAAACGCGAATTGTTGCATCAGTTTTACGCTTAAAAACTGCGATTCGTCAATTCGTCTTTGTCCACACATCTCCAAAACTAAGCGCGTTGGGAATGGGAATGATAGTCGTAAAAAAGTATTTGTGTATTTGCTGTTGTTAATGTATATAAGTGGAATTGTTGTATCTGTTTTCGGCAGATGAAATTCAAATAATTGGTACTGATGTTGCAGAATACATACATGCGTTTCCTGCGAGAATATTTCGTAACATTTATCGCGATGCTTGGAGGTGCCCTCTACAGCATTTGTTATGAAAAAATAGTTTCATGAAAAGAAATGACCATATTTTTACTTCCTACATAGAAGCATTGACTATAGACAAAATTTTCTTTTCTATCTTTTCTTGTTCTTATTACCAAGTACTTCACCTTAAGGCATTACGTTTCTGTGTAAGCAATATGTAACGCAGTCTCAGCCTATAAGACCATTCAGAGAAGAATGAGATAAAATGACTCATTAGAGACAGAATGATTGAGCAAGCAAGATAGACATCTTCAGATAAAGAGAGGACTAACATTGACAGCATTAATCAGTATAAATGAGCATTACCTTTGTTTTCACACTGTATCGTTTATTTATAGATGGTTGAAACGACTTATCTATCATTATTCAGTAGAACTCAGTATTCTTCTCGGTTACTTAGATTTCTTCTCAGAATATGCACAATTTTGTTGTTTGTCATTGTTGGACCTTTTTCCGTTCTAAAATATCATGGAACTCGATTGATCGACAAAGCATATGGAAGTGATCGAATCAGGAAATTTTTTGCATTGTTGCTTAGTCTGGGCATGGGTTCAGAAATTGTATATAGACTGCAGCATGAAAATATTACTATTAGACTCACATATGGCCTATTAACAAGTCTGCTCAATTATTGATATGTTATGCCATTGATCATACTTTACATATGGCCTTTAATGCACCGAGTAATGCACGTTTTGTTAGATATGACTGAATTCATAGCATCAAATATGATACATTCCCAATGTGGGATAATACTGGATATGCTGAGCGATTTACCGTTTTTGAATCAATATTGGTCGTCAATAGAACTTACATCGTCATAGGTACATCAGAGCATTGCATTTGTGATTAACTACGGATCGATTGGACCTGGATTGTACTGCGGACTACAAGTGTACAAGATATTAGTCTTTGGCACCAGTTTAAATTTCTGTCTGGCTTGTACAATAGCATTAATTGTGACAAGGTCACTGTGGAACTTACTAGATGCAATTGATGTTCGGTTGTTCCCATTTATATTTTCCCTCGTCTTACAATATTACCTTTTATCACAGTCATGGCTCAGATTACCGTTTAATGTTTTAGTACCAGTTGTTACAACAGCATATTTTTTTCCGCTCTTTAATCTCCTATTGACAAATGATTACTTGCGCAAATCCATAAATCGAATGACAACATTGAACCACAATGCATATATTGAATCGAATACAAATTATAAGAAATTCTACTCTGAACTAACTGATTTAATTGTTGTACTGTATACAAGTTATCGAGTATTGATCATATGTTGGACTAGTCAAGTACCGATGTCTCTTCAGATATCGATTATCGGTTTTCTTTCACTATTTCTCTATACATCTCTCATCAAATACATTCTGATTGACCCAAACTTGTCACTCTTTCTCCTCAGTTCAATTACAATTATTCAGCATATATTCACTTATTATCAGCATCTACATTTTATTAGTAAATATTTTCTCATGACTTTATTAGTGACAATTAATTATGTATTTATTTATTCTCTTCTCTATCATTTACTTCGTTATTTTACTCTTCGATATTCCGAACGCTGAGAATCAATATTGAAAATGAGACGAGAAATTATCATGAACAAACGTAGATATGGTGAACAGCGTTTAAGAATTGTCTATAATGATAAATCACGTTTATTATTACATGTGTCGAATCTATTAATTAGCATTTTTGCTTTTAAATTGATTAGTCAATTATTCAATAGTTCATTACTAAGATTGACATTTCCATTAATCAGTTATTTATTAATTGGTAAATTGTTATTGAACAAAGGAAATAAAATGATTGGAATTTTGGGATCTTTATGCACAGGTTTAACAGTCGGCAGCTACGTGTATGGCAATTATGGTCATTGCTTAAGTGTAACTATTGTAATTGCTTTCATTACATATGTCTCAACGTCGATCATTATTTTTTCCATTATCTATGCATACAAACTCTGTTTCCGACTCATCCATCATTTATAAATAAATTGGAATCAGTTCTAGATCAATTGTTCAATTATTCTTGGTCCTATTTCAGTATGATATGGACGCTAATAAAACGATGTCATCAAAAAATATTACTCAATATATTAGTACCAGTGGAATAATTTTGGTTTAGTGACCGTCTAACTGCATTAACAGAATCAATTTTTCATCAAAGATAAATGAGCAAAACAAGCTGTAAACAAGAGATTTTATAGCGTGGAAATTAATTAATCTTTTTGTTTGAAATCGAAAAAAAGGAAATTTTCAATAAGTTTCTTCAGTTCGTTGTATAAAGGAGCAGTAGAATCGAATCGAAGAATCACTAACAGTAAACTCGATGATTAGGTATTTGAACTGGTTTTGCACGTTTCCTAAATATAATTACCTTTTTCTGTTTTTTTCTTTTATTTTTCTTATTTGCTCATCGAATCGGAAAAGGAACAGGTAATAAACCTGTGTATACTCTTTTAGGTTTTGTAATAAACCTATTTGTTTTCAGAGAGTATGACAGAAACCAGCGGTTTTCAGGCATTATTATATATCGAGATGAACTATTTTTTTCGAACAGCTAGCTATAGAGTACTTTTTTATACTGGGTTCGATTCTGACGTTGGGTTTTAATTATAACCGTAAAAAGAACTGCTCATTCCCTCTTAAAAAGCATTCATATTGTTAAAGTTGTTGACGTTGACTTGGTTTATTCAGGAAAACATAAACAACCAGTGATGGTACATGACGATTTATATGAAAAACTTCCTGTTGCACAAAATTTAAATTCTGTCGTACACCAAAACTCTCTAAATCTTTCTAATCTGCTAGAGATTTCAAAAGCAAAGTTCGATGGATATCGATCAAGTATCGATTGAAACATTTCATACAATTTGAACAGAAATTGAAATGCACAATGTCGAATACCTGTTGGGATATAGCTGAACTATTATTAAAAGTTTTAGAACCATTTCGACAGGCAATACAACTTATCAGCGGAGCGGTGAATTCCCGTTTCGTCAAAAAAATTTGTAGAGTTTTTTTCTAGTGTTCCTGTTTCGTCGAAAAAATAAAACTTGAAGTAGAATATAGATTATTCTAATTAATAAGGTTTTTATAAACAGACTAATTAAAAAGAATGCTGAATTTAAATTATTGTTTTGAAAAATACATTATTAGAGAACGAAACAAAACAAGTGATAATAAAAACAAAAATCAAAATTTTTTGATACCAATTAATCGCATCACTTTTTCAAGATATTCTTCCGGTGTTAAGGTTTGTTGTTTATAACGATTTTCTAAATCGTGTAATCGTGCATTTCGATTCACAAATAGTTTTTTTCTTGGTGGTATTGCGCCGGTGGCTGTATGACGTGATGATATTGCTGAATTATAAGCATAATCGTTTTGAATTGCACGAATAAACATATAAAAATGTGGATGTATGATATGATTTAAATCAGTATTTAATCGATGATGCCAACCTTCTAAGCTATTATTTGTTCTTGAACTTTTAAAATCAAAATAATTCCACAATGATAAATCGAACAACGCATCGGCATCCACCCACGTACTTGTGACATAATCGTAAAATACTTCAATATGCTCAATAACTTGAAATTGATCCATAATCAATGTCCATATTTTTCCAACTTCTTGCGGTGGCATGAATGCAAGTGCACATGTTTTCTTATAAAGAGTTCTTATATCAATTTCATCTGGATCACTTGATTTGGCATTAATAAATGATGACTGAAACCCCAATTCTTGTAATTTTGTGTACATACATTTATTAAGGTGGAAATTACATCCTTTGATTGTGGCATTTGGAAAAACTAATGTGATGGCATTAATAGCTGCTTGTGCGAAGTCAATTGTAATATACTTGGGATTAATGCAAATATTGTTCATATGAAATAAATGGTACAGCAACAGCAGGATTGACATTACACGATATTTAGTACATTTAAATCAGTTAACGATTGCTTTGTTTAAACTAATTTTTAATCTAAAACTAATTAAAATTAATTTTTGAGTTCAGACTAATGTATATTAATTTGAGAAAAATTTATTTAAATTAATTTCAAGATTTACACATCGAAAATATGCATTTATTTCTCTTCTGAAAGATTCTCATTAAATTCTGAGGTTGCCGTTAGGCATGCAACGGTTACGGTTATTAAATCGAAAAAGGTGTGGAACGTTCTTGAAAACACTAATTATTGGCCGATTTTTGACTATTTTTCCTCTTTTTCTTAATATTTTTGCTCAAAATACGCTCACACTGCATTTTTGTTTACATATTTGGATAGAGCAACTATTTTCACCAATAACTGTTTAGTTTCAAGTTTTTGACTGACTCTTTCTTGGTGAAAACTTGCAAACTATCAATTGGACTGACCTTGACCAACCTTCAGTTTTTGGCATTCTACTCCACGAAATGTTTACTTTTTCTAACTTTAGATCCCATATTCGTGATCAGCACAAAATTCTGAGTCAGAAAAGGTGTGTTTCGAAAATTTTAGAGGAAAAACTTTTTTCGATGTTCGAAGGTGGGACCTTTGCCCTTAAATTTTTTGATAAAAATCAAAATGCGGTTTTTGGAAAAGTGAGACAGCTAAAATACTCCGAATTTTACGCTGATTCCGAATATATAAGTTTCATTGAGTTTTATCTGGGTGCTCGAGACTCGCTTATCCTATCCCGTCCTTTTGAATTACAAATTAGCTTGCACTGATTTAATATGAGACTTTTTTGAATTTGGTAGTGAAGAAAACTAATTTTTTCGTGGAAAAAGTAGCTAAAATTAATTGGGATTCTTTTCGTTTTTTTAAATTAATGTGAATTAATTTCGCAATTTGTATTTTATCTTCATTCAGAATTTTAAATTCGTTTGAATTAATTTTGAATGCAAAAAGTATTTTTTAGTTGATTCGAACTGTCTTCGATTTACATTCGTTCGAATCCTGAAATTAGTTTAGACTAATTAGAATTTATTTAAAACTTCCAATGGGAAAGGGTCATCCTCTGAATGTATGAACGATCATTTTCTTTGTGTAATAGATTCGGCGTCAGGTATTCATTCGATATAGGTAAAGACCTTATTATAGTCTGCACATATTTTTGATTGGTATGGTAACGTGGATGTGGCTTTTAATCATTTGGTATCTTACTAAAGTTGAAATGTTTAACTTCCGTTGAAGCTATGTCGAAAGATTTTTTTTCTCCAACTTCTTGAACTTATTTGTTCTTATTGTTTTAACGCAATATTTCATAATCATCATCATATCGCCCAACCGACGACTAAAATAATGAAAGATGATGGTTTAAGTGTGGAAGGTCCATTTTTGTTAGATGCTGCTGGTAAGACAAGCACGTGGATATGGAAAGTGCCGTCACCAACTAATCCACATGAGACACAGCAAAATTAAGAGACGTACGATCCTGCTCGTATGCATTCCATATCTAAAAGAATATTGGTAGATACCGGCTTCGGAAAAATAAAGCTTGAGTTTCATTCTTGATATATTTGCTTAACTATTTATGGTAGAGAGCCAATCCAAACGCCATTTGAAAGAGCAGATATTTTCGATCGTTGCCATATATAAAGAGGACTAACAGACTAAATACACAAAAAAACTTTTCAGAATCATGCGTCGCATTGATGCGCTCACCTCCTACGGAACGTACTAAAATAACTCCTGACCGAAAGCTCATCGATATCTGACGAACGTCTTAATCTGAATAAATTACTGTTATTATACTTAGGTGGAAGTACCCATCGAAATCTATCTCCTCTCTAAATTTTATAGATATGATTTTTCTGTTATCTCACCCAAATCTACATATTCTGGACAATAAGAATATAGAAAGCATTTTTCGTCAACCTCTGTATTTTGGAGAACTTTTACTCTTTTAAAACTCATCGCATTTATACCATCAACAAGACGACTTTTTTAGAAAACCGTCTAGGATTCATTGAAACCGACTCAAAACCTACACACATAGGTAAAAATTAACGCCAAATTCAATCGCCATATTGAATTTGAGACAAACAGAATTCTTGTCGAATACATTAAAATTCTTGTGATAAATCTCAATATTCCTGTGTAAAAGCAAACTTCTCTGAAGGAATCTTTGTTTTGCAAGACAAAAATCGCCAGGAGATTCTTCACAAGAATTTTACTTTTACACGGGGATATTGAGAACTACCACGAGAATTCTACGTGTCTGAAAGGAATGGAGAATATCCACAGTTTTTCGTAGTGGAGTAAACAAAGGATTGAGCAAGGATTTAGCTGAAATTGCACGGGAACTGCAAGTGGTATTACCAACGGGAGCAAAGCTTGATGAAAGCCGTGCATTGTTAGCTAATCATCCTGCTTTTACGAATGTAAGCTGGCCATATGATTTTGCTTCTTTAGTAAACTACCTCGACTGTTGTTGTATTATTTCTGTCTGTCTAGACGTCACGTCTTGAACAACTGATTAAATACGGTGTAAAGATTATTTTCTGTCCGAAGTTCCGCTGCGAGCTAAACGCAGGGGAACGCCACTGGTGCAGTCAGAAACAGTTCGTTAGAAATCGAACAGATCAAACCTATGATACACTGTTACGTCTGTAAACTGAACTACGTCTCAATTTCAAAGAAAAACAAATTCATTTGGAACTGTTTCGTCGTTTCGAAAAATGTTAAGAGGCTTATGAAACTGGACAGACTTACAAACAGTTCTTAAGAATGTTTTTCATTAAACTTGCAAGTGGAACGATAAAGAGTCATATGCGAATAAGTAGTACTGGTTTGCAGAGCGATTGAACAGTTAGCTTTCGTAGTCTGTCTGCGACCACGCCTTTCTTTTTTTCTTGTTTCCCTCTCTTTTCTCAGTGCCATTTGATGTATGATTAATCAAGAAATAGTTAACTTAGATTTGAAATTGCTTCCAGGCGTGTTATTCCGTCGCAAACGACACTTTTACACAACATTTTTGAAGAAAACCTCTGGAAATCCTCTAAAGATCTCAAAAATACTTCCATTAAATTTGTCACGATTTTTAACTTATTTGAGTTCATTAGAATTGAATTCGATTTGAAAACTCGAAAGTTAATTGAAAATAACCTCGACCTTTTTCTCTCGGGTTCTGTAAAAGCCATTATTTCAGTAAAGAACAGGAATTTTAAGAAAAGCTCGATATACTTTTAAAGCTAACATGTTGGGGCATCTAATGTTGTATGAATCAATGGTATTGCCCTTAATCCGAAAAACCGGCTAGATTTACAAAATGAGTCATGTCTCTTCGATAAGTGTCGGTTTGGATGTCCATGGCGGACGTGTGTTTACGTCCGAAATGAATCGAAAACTTTTTCTAAATCAGTTTTCAATGCTGATACAGGAAAATATAGTTTGAACGCTTCATCAAGCAATTCACATTTAAAAAATCCATTTTACGATAGGGGTCAGTTTTCTCTGTTTTTGAACATGAAAAAAAAAACACATATTCTGGTACAGCTTGAACTCCTCTTTCGAACGGTGTATAATAAATAAACAAAGCAATTTCACTGCAAGCTTGCATTATGTACACCTTGTGAGTTTACTCTGTTAAATAACTAAGAATATAAACTAGAATATAAGGTACCTTTTTTTGTTTGTGTGTTGCTCGGCATCATTAAAAACAAGCAATAAACTTGAGTAAACTATCGTTCTGAGTTACTCTTTTTTCCTTTCTGATGTATAGTCATTTTCTTCCTTTAATATTTTTCGGAAACTAGGCGACGAGAACACTTCTTACTTACATTTGCTACACTAGAACCAAACGAGATTAATTTACTCACATTTATTGCTTCCTTTTAATGATGTCGAGGAACACGTTAGCAAAAAATACATTTATTCTACTTTCTTTTCAGTAACGTAAACTTATAATTTTTCTCTGTTCACAGAGCCTACTTGTATGGTTTTATAAATTAAAAAAGTAGTTTTTCTTGTGATTTACAATCATTGTGTTAAAATGTCAGCCGAGTCATACGAAAATCTTGAAGATTTAACTGTTGTATGGCTTTATACTGAAACCTTTAAGTATTATGTTCCTGTATCAAATGAATTACATTTGAATGTCAGTTATTTAAAAACATTTTCTAATATTGATGAGAGTATTTGTTATATAACGTCAATTAAATATGAAAAAGTGTTTTTAATTATAACAGGAAATTATTCTGAATATGATTTTCAATGTTTTAGTCAACTTTTACAAATTGATCATGTTTATCTATTGTTTTCCACATTTAAAAAAAAAACCAGCATTAGCAAAACTTCGTGGTGAATACCAAAATCTAACAGATTTTATACAACAATTGAATGATGATATAAAATTATTTTATAAAAAATTAACACTAACAACAACAACGAATGTTTTCACTGTTAATCGACAATGAATTTTCATGTCGAAACTTATCCAATGAAAATCAAGTATTTATGTGGTTTCATTTATTAATTAAAATTTTATTACGTATGACTGATGATGATCTAGCTAAATCAGAGTTTATTGACTATTGTAAAGATTTCTATGCTAATAAGCCAAATTTGAAACAAATTGATGAATTCAACCAACGGTGTACACCGACTGATGCTCTGGTATGGTATACAAAAGATTCATTTGTCTACCGCATTATTAATAAAGCACTTCGTTTACAAAATATTTATATTATCTACAAATGTCGATTTTTATTAAAACATATTTATAATCAAATTACACTAGGTCATCTAAATTATTTAGAGAAATTAAAAACATACGATGTAGACTCGGTGAAAGTTTATCGTGGGCAAATAATACATAAGAATGAGCTTGAAAATATACAAAATAATCCAGGTAACCTTATATCAATGAATTCATTTCTATCAACAACAACTGATTCCAATGTTGCCGAAATGTTTACTGGTTATGGAGAGGTGGATTTAGAGAGAAAAGTGTCGATACTATTTGAAATTAATATTGATTTAGAGATAAAAAAATATCCATTCATAGAAATCGAACATTCAGAAATGCAGTATGAAAATGAAGTTTTATTTTCTATTAATACAATCTTTGAAATAAAATTAATTGATTATAATGAAGAAAAAAAGTTTTGGTGTATTCATTTGATTTTATCGACAAAAGCGAGTATCAATGAAAAAATTGATCAATTAATGGAACATTATTTGGAAACAATGTCTCGAAACGTGACAGCAACCACATTAGCAAAATTTTTAGCTGAAATGGGTGAATTGAGTAAAGCAGAGGTATTTCTACGACAGTTTCAAGCTACACAATTACACACATCAAACAATTCTGATTTTCTTAGAGAGAGTAGTATCGTCGAAAATGATCTTGCCGCATTACATTATGAAAGAGGAAATTACACCAAAGCCATAGAACAGTATCACAGGACACTTGAAATTGATTTCCGTCGACGACCTTGTAACAAATTATCATTAGCTAAAGTATTTAATAATCTCAGTCTTGCTTATACAGAGGATGTAAGTTATTCTACGTAATATGGCGTTACATTATTTTTCTGTGAAGCATTCTTCGCCTATTTTAGGGTACTTATAATAAAGCTACGTGGAGTTTTGCTTGTGCTATGTTATTTTGTCTAGAATGTTTACCAGAAAACTACGAATTACTTGGTGAAATCTATAATAATATTGGTTTATGGTGTCAACGTACGAATCAATTTCAAACTGCATTACAAAATTATGAACAAAGTCTTGATTTACTAAAGGAACATGTATCGAAAAATCATCTGTATATTAGTACAGTACATACAAATATTGGTACAGTCTATTATGATCAAAAAAGTTTTTCAAAAGCGTTAGAATGACATTTGAAAACACTTAAGTATCAAGAAGAGTTTTTGATAGCGAACCATCAACTAATATCAACGACTTGTAATAATATTGGTTTATGTTATGGAAATTTGAAGAACGTTGAAATGGCTATTCAATATTTAGATAAGTCGTTAAATATTGAAAAAACATACAAACCAAACAATTATGTTCGAATTGGAACAGTTTATAACAACATGGGCATTGTGTATAGTTTAAATGATGATCACCAAGAAGCATTAAAGTGTTTTTGTCTTGCTCATGAAAAAGCTTCAAAACAATTGTCATCTACACATCCAGATATAAAACTCTATTTAGAATCAATTGAACAAACAAGACATTTCCTACATCAGAATTGAAAAGAGTATACTTTTATTCGATTATTTCTTTTGTACCTACACTCGTCTGCATTTCAACGTATCAATTTCTAAAATAGATGTCTCAATTTTGTTGTGTCCAAAGAGCCTATGGCATTTGAGCCATGCTGTGGTGAGAGGATTCAGTTAAACAACTGTATCTTCCTGACTAGTCAACCGTAACCATCAAAGCAGAAATTAGAGCGAAATTTTCACTTAATATAGGGAGTACTAGAGAGTCGTTTTGACGCTTCTCTTAAATCTGGCGTCAAAATTTAAACTTAAATATAAATTCAAAAGTTAAGTTTTTAAGTTTGATTATAAAAATAAAATTTAAAATTCTTTTTCCTAAATCTGAAAATGTCTGAAATCACCCCACAACGACATTTTTGCTTGTGTCATTTGCCAAGCAGCTCGCGAGAAAAAATAAATAATGATTTCCGAAAGTTTGAAGATTCTCTGCAACTTCCGTGACAAGCATTTCGTCAGATAATGTCTCAGTTTGCATTATAGTTCGGAATTATAACCCGGCTTTCGAGAGTAGTGAAACTACTAAACGATTCATCAATAGATAATGATAAATAGCTCCAATCCACAGCTTGGTAGCTTCAAAACCTTCATTGCATATGTATTTTAACAAGTACGGAATGGTTCAATTAAATAGGCGCCTTTGAATGGTAATACAATGCACACAATAAAGATAACAAGTCGTACATTGTCAATAAGATGAAATAATTTTTGATCATTAGGTCAAAACAAATTTGCGATAGTCATTGAGTCAGTTCTCATATCAACTAATATACCCGCACGGTCTAGAAATGAAAAAAGTTTATCTCCATTTGATGTTGACTGTAGAGTAGCATACCACTTAACACAGTGAACACTGTAATCATCCATATTTTCAGCGATTCTTAAGATCCTTATTCTTCACCTACGGTGAATTTTTTAAGATACCACGTTGCATATTTGCAGAGAAAAGCTGGCAAGACGAGAAAAAAGCGTGATTTCGTCAAGCTTATTCAAAGCAAAACAGAAGAATACCACTCAGAGGATAGCCACTGCTCTTATAATTTGAAAAGGATAGTAGTAAAGTGCCATCCCTACTAGTGAACAACACAAATACAAATTGTTAATAAAAGAATCACTCGATACGATCATAAGAACCAATACTAAATGGTACAGATCGGTACCGTTATACGTCTTGTGTGTACATTTTCACTATTCACAATGACCGTGAATGGTCGAAATATCAAGTTTTGTAGAATAAAATTCTAAAATTAGCTGCAACTAACATGAAGTTATTTCAGAGATCGTTGCCTACTGATATTAAATTTGTATTGACTTGATAATATTACAAGAATACGACATTCTACCAGAACCGATTTTCAAAATTTTGGATTTTGTAATAATATTTATTTTTCTATTGGATATAAACGATCATACTAGGGTTATAGTATTGAATAAAGACTGTAGTATAAACATTAAAGCCATAATAAACGCACTATTTAGCTAGTTGAATATTGTGCCTTATAAATATTATAACAATGTTTTTGTTGTATACTTTTTCACGTATAAGTTGAAATTTAAATGATATCAGAGGCCAAATAAATTCATACTTTATCGACTGTTGTTCTTGTTTGTTGAAGATATAATGAACGAGATCAAAACTTGTGCCTGAACTCAGTTGAGAATGATATATTTTACACTTGCCGGTTTGGAAGCAATTCATCTAAAACTGCATGCATTGTTTCGTTAGAGAACGCTATTGAAATAAGAGGCAGAAGACCAAGTTATGCTAGAAACACTGAACGCAGACCGTCTGAAACTCTTTCATAAAAAAAGAAGCTCTGCAACCAAATCCATCAAAATATTCCAACCGGAACCCATTAACATCGACAAAACATATACCGCCATTGGTGCCCATACCGCTTAATGTCTAACCAACACGAGAAATTCGAACATGAAACCGCATCTTGAAGCCCGACGCGCAATAAATCTAGTAGAAGCATAAGCAAAAACTCTTTATTTTACCTCCCTATAAAGGTAATGTTAATCTTCCTATAACAACAAAACTCATCACTAGATTTATCATCAATCATGGAGCCATATGTAAACCCGATAGAATACGAATTTTGCCTTAATGCAATTTAATATACATCCTGACTGAACACACATAAACAACATTAAAAACATCATTATCACATCATTTATAATCTCAACGAAAGACAGCCTCACAAGTTCAGCACACATGACATAACATTCATCAAAAATTGAATAATGAACAGATACAATAGACATCAACAAAAGGTATATACATTCGCATTTTGATTAATATCATTCGTAATAACCAGGATACTCCAGATGAAAACTATGCACTTCATCAACTCAACACTTAATAAAGTAAACTATATCTCATAAGAGTGAGCTCGAGATAAAACAGACCATAGAAAAAAGGGAAGGAAGACAGGAAAGAAAAACAGAAGACATGAGCAAAAGTTTCCTTTTTAAACTATACTTCATATCTTCCAGATAAACCGTATAAAAACAAATATTAAAATACTTCAACGAAACAACATCCTTAAGAAAAATATAATTATTAACCTAAAATGAAATAATGTTGTTAAACATAATGTAAGAAAAATGAAAGACAAATAGTTTGTACTTAAAACGACATCTTTGAACGAAGATCTTTGAAAAACGGGACTTTAAGGTGAAAGCGGGCAAAAACCATTATGATATTCGGAATCAGCATGTTCGATTACCCCTTGTCGACTAAGTTAAAGCTCAAAAGCGAGGAGGCAGTTGGTGGCCTTCCCTCGATAGCCCAAAGTCAGTCAGTTTAATGTAATTATGTTCCGTTTTGAATTTGCTGAATCAAAACATGAGAATATTTCGACAGGCTAAATCCTCGTGAACAACGTGATTATGCGCCAAAAATGACATAGCACCGGCTATCTGGATAAATATTTCTAAGCATACTGGTTCGCAAAGGTACCTCTGATCCACGAAAGAGAAGTGTCTTCACATGATCTTGTTCTATACTGTTCGGAATACTTCAAAATCAAGCGTTTCTAAATTCTCTCAAGTGTCGGACTGATTTTTTTCCAGTTATTAGGAGTGCTCAAATAGACATTATTAAGGCAAAATATTGTAATCTGAGTCTGACTGTTTAAGAGCCTCCGCGGGCCTATCGAGTATACCTGTCAATCGCGAAAAATAGATTCTGCTAAAAGTTACATCATTCGGCAAAACTGGGGTGACGAAATATTTTAAAGCCTTATAAGTCATTTTGCTTTAAAGAAAATCAAGTTTTCCCAAGATGAAAGCTCAAAAAAACTCGAAAATTGACCAATTTCAGCTTTTTAGGTATAAAATCAAAAATGCTCTAAATATTCTTTTTTCGTCGTCAAACGATTTCCAGTCAAGCTATTTCTTCAGTCAAGACTAAGTATAGAAAAACATGTTCCTCCTTCAATAAACGTTTTATCTATGGGAAAATCAAATTTTTCCGAAAAGCCTGCCGAAAAGTCGAAAAAATCGCCATTTTTTAGTTTTTTATCAGTAAAATCAACAATTTTCATTCAAATTAACATCTCATTCGACAGAGCAGAAAGGACTGAACAATATCTCATATTCAGAAACATTTTAGATTCAAAATAGTAGTCAGAATAATGAATTTTTGCCAAGTACTATTATTGTTGGGGTGTTTCCACACAGCTCCGTCCACTTTATACGTTTGAAAAGTCGATTAATAAATCAAAATTTTAGTATGGATTTCCATTTGGTTGCTTAAAATATTCAGGTTTTTCTACAAAAACCTGAGTTTTGCAATACCTTAAAAGTTCAGTAAATGTTTTTTTTGCGACTACTATTTTAACTTTAAAATACTTTAGAATATCAAATTTTGTTCAGTTTTGTGCGCTCTTTCGAATAAAATGTTGTTCAGAAAAATCGAAGGAAAACTGACGGTTTTATACCTAAAAAGCTGAAATTGGTCAATTTTCGAGTTTTTTTGAGCTTTCATCTTGGGAAAACTTGATTTTCTCCAAAGCAAAATGACTTATAAGGCTTTAAACTATTTCCTCAGCCCAGTTTTGCCGAATGATGTAACTTTTAGCAAAATCTATTTTTCGCAATTGACAGGTCTGCTTAAGGGTACTCGATTCACTCATGGAACGTCTCTTAATTCCCTGTCCATATGTATCAAAAAACAAAATTATAATTTTATTACATCCGGCATGTGAAAACTGCAGGTCATTTAGTTAATGGAATATTTTTTTTTCTCGAATGGAGTATTTTACGGTAAAATACTCCATTCAGAAATATCACTATTCATCAACTGCTCGGGAATTTTTCTTGAATGCTTTTGTACGTATTCATCAGGCAAAGGAACTAACAAACGTTGATAAACTTCTGCTGCATTATGATAGTTTGTAACTCTATATGGTGAGGGTACGTTTGACAGATCCGATACCTCTGCTGCGGTTTCTAACACATGCTCAGAAATGCTGAGATTGCTTTGACTTCTCCAAGAACGTGCGCGTGCCATTTTTGAAGCATCGTCTGGAATGGCTGGCAGATTTGAAGCTGAAATATTGAATTCCATGATGTTTTAGTAGAGAAATATGTGTTTTGTTACGTCGGAAAACTCGACAAAGTCGACATTTTAATTAAATCAAACCTGTTATCTTGAGAATAAGATGCTGAAATCGAACCTTTTGTGGTTTGCGTCTTATCAAATATCTTCTGATTTAATACTTTGTGAGGCCATCATTCGTTAGGTTTAGATGAATTTCGTAAGTAGACGGTAGACTATATATCAAGGAACAAAAGGCGGCTTCGGGAGGTTTCCGAAGCTGGAGATACTTAGCATGGAAATGCTGTCCGATGCTGAGAGATGCTTCGTAGAGCTCATGCAAGTCCCCATGGGCCCACACAGAGCTCTGCTAAATATGCCTTTAGAAGTGATATTATTTAGAAAAATCAGTCCGCAGTTTCTCTTT